TCCTACTCCAAATTTCACATCCAGGCTTAAGATTTCATAGGATTCCTCCTAGAAAAGATTTCATATGATTCCTCCTAAATCTAAAAATTTTAAAAAGTCTCAAATCTCAAAAGGTCTCAAAGTGTAACTCAAAATCTCAAAAAGTTATCCCCAATACACATTTCAGAACAAGTAATTACAAAAACCAACCTTCATAATTCATATATAGCTTCATTCACAATAAATAAATAAAAATAAAAATACGACTTCTTTCATATATTAAAATCACGCTTCCAAATATAAGAGCGAGCTTTTATTTTCGAATGAGGGATAAGAACCTGAAGGGTAGAATTTGTGATTGCACCTAAAGTGTGATATTAGTAATTGTTTGAGAGTTCTGAGTGAGAAGCTTACCTGAATAAATGTTTGGGCAATAACACGGACAACTGAAGGAAGCCGTATGACAATTAGACAACCCAAAACATTAGGAAAGTGAGATTGCAAAATATTGCAGCAGTATCTCACTGTTTGCATGGGAAGTCTCAGTGACGACAGCCCTTGACAATCAACTAGGACAGTGATTTGCGGATTATCTCCATCCAGCAAATGCAAAACTCCATGCTCCACCTGAGATACTGCATTTACAAATGTCCATGAGATGAGAATGCAATTTTAGTTTACCACAAGAATCTCGAGCACAACCGCAATAGTATTCAAGGTACCAATTCAAAAGAGACATGAAATGGAATGAAATTAGATTTTCATGTTGAAAAGCCACACAAAGTCAGACTGCAAAGAAGGTAAATACCCTTTACTAGATTCAAGGCATTAACACCAAAAATCAATAAAACGCTAGGGTAAAATCTTGTCCACCTACTTCACAATTTGAAATAATTAGTTATTACTGACCATACTAGCTACCAAAGCAGCATGTTGGAATTAGATGGTAGCATGAATTTCACGTTTCTAGACAAGAATCAGAATTATTTCTTTCGTTTGATTGCTCTTAACTCGGTACTTGAACTTTTCACTACTTAAAGAGATAGGAACTCTTATCAGGCAAATATAAAAAGAATAAGTATATGCCACAACTTGTTGATAAGTAGAAGAATGTACCAAGTGCCTGAGAAAATCGAGGTCTATCATGAGCCGGCAGGCTGATACAAGCCAGGCCAAATCTGATAATAAGACACGGCCTACGCCTCGAGTCAAATCCATGCCAGAAGATCATATTTGACCACATCTCAAGTTCCTCTCCTGAGAGAATTCTGTATGTCTCTCTCCAACGTATTGTTTTCTTTACAGATGATAGCAAACTAGGAAAATCGCCGTTTGCAGCTGCATAAAATCTCCGGAGTTCTTCTTTGTTAAATCTGTAAAAACATGATTGAAAAGAAAAGCAGACAGAAATTAGCAAGACATAAAAAAATTAGATTAAAAAGAAGAAGGAATTTTTTGTCTGTAAAACTAAGAAGCTACAGAACTCTCTAACATCAAATAATGAAAAATTCATCAAAAAATCAGATGAAACATAGACGTGGGAAACACCAAATATGACTTGAAAATAATTAGAAGAAACTGGCGTGAAGATAAACAGATAAGGAATAGCGTGTCATAAGAGTAACCTTTCTGGCAAAGTAATCCCCTGATTTTCCAGCTCTTCACAAAGGTGGTCCATCCAGACTGTAGAAGAAGGGTTGTGCAGGTCTTCATCACCAACACTGTTCATTGGAAAAGAAAGGAGGTGGATAAAGACGACATAAGAACTCCACTGTTACCTTACAAAAGAATAACATAGCGTCAACAGTTTCATAATTCCACGTGGATTACTTAAGTCCTAGAAAGCGAGTGCCAAAAGTATTGACAATAGTCGTTTCTTAAATGACCCAAATAAAACCATTAAAACTTCACCACAGTTGTAGTCCCTATCTTAAGTAAAAAGATTAGAAGTATTGAACTCTAAAAAGTGGGTTTTCAGCCCCTCTTCACAAAAGCATCTGTTACTAAATGCATCAAAGTGAAGATTAAATGCTGATAGCAGCATTCATATATTCATGAGGAAATAAGCAAGCAGAAATAGAGATTAAAAGTAGAAAATTTCCAACGTAGAATTTGAAAAAATGTGCCAAGCACAACACAGTATTCTTGAGAAGAACCAATGCCCAAAGCTAGGGACACTGCTTGATATAAGAATCCATGCTCATGTTTACATATTATTCAACCAAAGACAACCAACAGTCTAATATTCAGGTTAGGCAGTGGTCATGTGCGCTTGTTTCTAATAATCATTCAGTTATATGCAAAAGGCTAGCAGTATCTTTTACATTCTTAGGTACAGTTTATCTAGCCATTAAAGAAAAATAACACCAAAGAAATCTATTATGCCGTTGCCAATGGATTTATAATATGAACAATGACTTATTGCATATACCTCATGCCCTCATTACACTGTAAAGATGAGCAGCCTGAAATAGATTCTAAACTCAGTTGACAGTCATCAGTGCTAGGAGAATTTTCTGCATCACCCGAGCGAAAACTACTGCAGTCTGAATGATCAGAGATAGCATTCACAATAGAGAGAACCAGCAACGGCCCTGATATCATCTACAACAAAATATATCAAAATCAGAACAGTGAATACCATTATCAACCCAAAATAACAATCTAAACAAGCTTGAGATAGAGCTCACTGCAATAGAGTAGCATACAGAACTTGGTTAAGGTTTTCCATTTAAACAAGAGAAGCAAAACTCTCCATGATAAAAAAGGTTTACAAATAACGGCGACATTTTGTTGACCTTAGAACAATGTAATTGATTTCCAGCAAAATGATTCTGGAATAATCAATGGATGATTCGAGCGCAGAAAAAGGAACACTTAATTTTATATTAAAAATTATGTGTTTGCACAAACAAACAGACTAGAGCCTCAATGTCCTCACTTATTATTTGTATGATTAGAACTTATAAAAAAGGAGCACCAGTCGCAATCAATGGCGCACCAATTTCGAGAATTTAAAGCAGACTGAATCTTTACCTGCATTCCATTAACCAAGTACCCAAAAGGATTCCAGCGCTGTAACCATTTCAATGGGGGGTAACAAAAAACTTGTAAACCTTGTAGCCCAGTCCACAGAAATGGACACTTGGCCATGGAAACCCTCCGTACAGCTTCTAATGCAAAAGTTTTAATAAGAAATACTGTCACCTTACCACCAGTTGCCCTCCCGATTTCCCATTTTTTTGAGATTATTGGTCTTACAGGTTGACCTGCATGTGATTTGGGGCTAGAAGCGATCGAAAGACCCTTCGACAAATTTTTGTTATTCACAAAATTCGCCATGTCAGACTAGTCACCTTCACAGACCATAACAGTAGGATGAACTGAACTCTTCCAGGAATCAATCAAAAATTACAGAAGATGTACAACTGATGTTAGATGCTGCGTCTCTTTACTAGTGAGAGGGTTTGAAAATTTTTTGGGATCAAAGTTCAGGATGACACAGAGCCTAGATCTTGAAACTTCAATAAGGTTCATATTAAACTCATCACAACAAAATAGGTAAAACAAGAACCTGCAAAAATACACATCATATCAAAACCTTTTTCAAATATTAACCATAAAAATCATCCATCATGTCCTAACCAAATGTTGAAACTAGGTTAACGTTTTTTTTTTTTTTCAANTTGACTCTCAACAAAAATATAAAGGGAAAAAGCACAGAAAAACATAGACCACATGAATTCACTGAAAGGGAAAACCTAAAAAACCATTTCCCTTAAACAAGCTAGCAATGCTGAAAAGACATGGACTGGAAAAGTGCAGTGTCGACAATAATTAACATACAAGGTACCAACAACATAGGAGCTAAACATGGTCACAGAGCAAGCATTTCCACACATTTGGCCATATGCTAGTCAAGCATCGAAGTTAGACCACACGATTCACACCTACAAATGCAAGCAATCACGAGGTATGAACCACAGTACATAAATCAGCTAACAGAGAGCCCTAAAATCCAATATACGATCATCTCAACTAGACTCAAAGAGAAAAGTACTGGTAAATTTCATTCAAAACGCTAACAAAAAAAATGCGATCAAATTGCAGAATTTGATCGGTGATTCTAAAAATATTTGTGAGTATTCAAATTGCAGAATGCACAGTGATCAATAACAAATTCACAGTAAATGCGATCGAAAAATACAACAATGGAAAGATAAATTGAAGAGAAGCTCACTTTATTGAACCAGAAGAGGAATTTTCTGAAATTGGGAACACGAGAAAAAAGGCCAACTGCATTGGAAGAGTACAAAAATGGCGTATATATAGTTCAGGTGCGGAAAGTTATAGACAATTCGTTTCAATTGAATTTATTAGTAGTATGTTCAAAGCTATTTTTGGGAATTTAAATTTTATTAATTATAATTGAATATTTATGAGACAGGATATTTATTAGATAGATTAACGTGTCACACGTTTTAAATAAATATATTTTTTACTTTTAAATTATGACATTTTGGGTTGATCTATGTGAACAAAAATATTACCAAGACCATAAAATGTTATACATCAACTTATATTACTTTTAAATTACAAAATTTAAGTTTTAAAATATGCTATTAAAAAAAATATAATTGTATAACTACTGTAATCCATGCCAAAAAGAAATTTAACAATACTAAATATGCTATTAAAAAAATGATTGCAACTATTGAAATCCGTGCCAAAAAGAAATTTAACAATACAATTAAGAGGATGTATATTGAGTTAATTCCAACTAATGTCATTTCTTAGGTAAAAGTGTAGTTAAATTTCATTTGATTTTCTTAGGAAAAATTGTGTTTAAACTTGAATGGGTACAAGTGTGAGGGAAAAGAGGGGAAAAATAGTTTCGATTTTTTTAATGTAAAAAATTTCAGTTCGGTCTTTATTCGATTTTTTCCTACATTGCGGTCAGGTACGGTTATAGTTTTTCATAAGTTCGGTTTTCGGTATTGTTGTATTCGGTGCGGTTTCACTGAACCACACCAAATTGAATGAAATGTATAGAAAAATCGAGATAAAACCGAAAACCGAGTCGAACCGTGTCAGTGCGGTTCGATTTAATTATTTTCGTGTGAAAAAATTTCAATTCGATTTCAGTTCGATTTTTTCTAAGTTGCGATACTGTTTGGTTTCCCGTCTTTTGCGGTTCTGTGCGGTTTTTCACCGAGTAGGACCGTTGCTCACCCCTAATCTTACCATATAAACAAATTTGTCAAAAAGCTCACTCCTTTTAATCACCACCAAACAACCTAAATCCAATGCTAAGGAGGGGATGTATTAGTTTTGGATTTTTGAGTGATATGAGATTTTTTTGAGATTTTCAAATTTAGAAGGATCATTTGAAATCTTAAATTTGATGAGATTTGGAGTGAAATTTCATTTATGATTTTTTTTTTTAAATTCCAACAAATCTTAAAAAGTGTTAACAAATTACAATGTCAAAATTTTATAAGACTTTAAAATCTCAAATAAATGTCTTGAGATTTTTAAAAGTCTTAAAAAATCTTAAAAAGTCTTTAAAAACTCCAAAGGAATACACCTACTTAGCCCTTAATTACATACTAATGTGGTCATCATATAGACCTCTGCCCAACATT